ATGGAAACCAATTTGACAATAAATTTCATATATTGAAAATAAATTAAATAAATAAATAAATAAATAAATAAGGCCTAATAATGCCCATGATATACTTTGCCTATTTTCTGAGTAATCAAGGAGTAAATTTCTGCTTCATCAGCTAAGTAACGTATTAAGTTCATGGTGATCAGTAGTGAAGGGAGAATATCCCTTTTGAAACCCTCTTGGTAATTACCCCCCTGCTCTAAGAATGTCTCGCCTGGGTGGCTCAATCAGTTAAGCAACTGATTTCGGCTCAGGTCATGATCTCACAGCTTGTGAGCTCGAGCCCCACAATGGGCTTTATGCTGACAGCTCAGAACCTGGAGCCTGCTTCAGATTCTGTCTGCCTCTCTCTCTGCCCCTCCCCTGCTTGTGCTCTATCTGTCTGTCTCTCCCCCTCTCTCTCAAAAATAAATAAGCATTAAAATTTTTTTATTTCTAAAAAAATTTATTTATTTATTTATTTTTATGTTTTTATTTATTTTTGAGAGAGAGAGAGAGAGAAAGCACAAGCGGGAAAGGGGCAAAGAGGGAGAGGGAGACACAGACTCTGAAGCAGACTCCAGGCTCTGAGCTTTCAGCACGGAGCCCAGTGCGGGGCTCAAGCCTACAAACTGTGATCATGACCTGAGCCAAAGTTGGATGCTTAACTGACTGAGCCACCCAGGAGCCCCCCACCCCCCAAAAAAATTTTTTTTTAAAGTTTGAACTAATTTAGGCAATAAAGATATGGGCAGTTATTTGATTCGAACTTACATGTTGGTGTTTTTTGTTTTCCTGAAGGAGGGGCAATCCCCTTCATTTATCTCGTGAACGGTATCGGAAGCTCCATTTGGTGTGGCAACAGCACTGCATTATAGAAGAGATTGCTAGGAGCCAGGAAACTAATCAGATGTTATTTGGATTCAACTGGCAGTTATTGTGAGCTTCAACTCTGCCTTGGGACAATCACAAGTGAAGACAGTAATGAAGACTGATTGAAAATTATGGAGATCTTTCTTTCTGAGGGCTGGGGAAGGGTTGGAGGGTCTTTTGCTCCATGTCCAGATTTGCATACATTAATAAAATATTCCTTAATGGAGTATTGCTTTCAATTAGTGAAAATATGCTTAAAGGAGTGAAAGGATGACATAGATTAATGTTTCATGTTCCAGAACACTAAAAAAATGCTTCTTCACCCCAAATGTCTCACTGTGCTATTTCCAGAAAACTCATTTCCCTTCATAATCTGTCCCATTTCATGTCATTTCATTCACCTGGTAAATGAAGTCACATCAAGCAGTCATGGACATTTTTATATGTTGGTTAACTCTTCTACAGTTCTGTATTTGGTATTTCCCACACACACCCAAGTTTCGTTTAGCTGACATTGGAACACTGACAAGATTCTAATCGGTGGTAGTCTTCCTTGCAGCTCAAGAGGAATTGCAGAAACCATGCAGTATACTTCAGTTGAGAAAGTTTTCAGAAGAGTAAATTTCTTTTAAGGAATTCCCCCTAATGTGCCACTTAGTGTTTCAGCCAGAAATTAAACAGTTCTATGGACAGAGTTGCCACTTGTAAGACAAATTTCTGCCACTGTGGAAAAGCTTTTTTCCCACAGTAGACCTCAAGAAGAGTTAGGATAATGTATTCATTATTCATCCCTGATGGGCCAAAGAAACTGTAATCCTCTCCTTTTACCACAAATAGCTTTGTTAAGTTTTGAAATTATGCTTCCTATTTCCAAAGGCAAGTTTCTAAAATGAGTTCACTTATCTCTTGTTTGACTCTTAAAAACCTGAGGCAGTTCTGATATAAAACTGTCTATAGAATGAGGATAAGAAAATTCCCCCAATGAATGGAGCATGGCAGCTGTAAATTAGAACAATCAGATTTAAGCCAATTCTGTAACCTATGTCTTTGTAAAAGACAAATCCTTCGTTATCTGTGTACAATGTTTTCATAAACTCTGGTTTTATGTCTAGTACAGACAACCAAAAAAGCCATGTGATCAGTAGTCTGTGTCCTGTTATAATATGCTGTGGTTGAGCCATCTTGTTTATAAGTAATAGTGCTCTCCTGAATCTGTGCATAGACTTCTTGATTTTTGGCTTTAACTTTTTATATCAAGAACTTGTGATATGAGCAGCAGATAGAAGATAAATTGAAATCTTCCATTTTAGCTTCTGTTGTCTCTGGAATAATGTTATGAATTTGAAAAGATGCATTCAAAGATCATCTGATATTGCCTTTGGTGACTACGTCATATACGTGTGTACATGTTTTCCTGTCTTCTTTTTGCTCATCCAAGGCAAGCAAACAAAAGTATATTTGCACAGTGATTGATGATGCACATTTGGGGTTAGATTTTTTTGGTATTTTTTATGTAAAGTGGGTTTTGCAGTAAAGGATGGGCATGAACAGGCATCAGAATCACAATCATGATTTTCTACTTGAATAATTATTATTCAGAAGGTATCAGGAAATAGATACAACTCCAGTGAGCGATCTGTAACAGTTGATGAATGAGGATCAGAAAATTCAGTATTCAGTTTGTCCAATTTGCCAGTATGATTAAGTGATAAGAACATCTCCCTTTATTTCTTAGATAATTTTTTTGGATGGATTGTCTGACTTGGTAAGTCTGAGCCAAAATAGGCAACAGGAGGTACTGACTTCTGCCCTGATTGGCCCCAATTTAACAAAGATATACTGACTTTGTTTCTAGTCTTTTTATATTCATTTCATAAATCCTGGGCTTAAGCTCTGAGGCTGCCAGAGGGACTATCCTGTAATGGCCAGTCAGACCTTTACTGCCAAAGAACCCATTTCTTATTGAGTTCCACTTTTGAGATTGATTCAGACCCCTGCACTGTAGATGAACACGTGTCTCAGTGCTGCCCTCAGCCCTAGGGATTTCTAATTATATTCAAATATGATAGTGGTCTGCCCTCATCATTGCAAATAATTTAATTATGCTTATCGAGTTTACTCACAAATGAGCAAAAAGTCACTTTATTTTCATTAGTGTAGTTATGTGGAGGAACTGGTTCAACAGGATGGCTCCAAAACTATGTTTTTCTCATGTTTTTGGTGAGGGGCTGACAGGAATTTTAATGATACAGTGAAGAAAAACGTATATCTGTATAATTAATTTATTTTGTTGATGTATGGGCTGTGAGTTCACTTTAGTGGTCATTTGTCATTTCATAACAACTATGCATTTTGGTTCACTGTGACGATGATCTGTATTTAGTGACTGCGACATGTTTATACCACTGATTCAAATTCCATCCATGATGAAGTTATACAAATAATGCATATATTGATATCTTTTATTGCAAAATGTAAATTTAAAACTTGTATAATGTTCTTGTGCTTTTTGAAATAAAATATCTTATATGTGTATATTTACAAAGAAAAAAGGGACTTCTCATGTTTGGGGATTTGGGTTTGAAGTATAAAAATCTGTACCTAGAAAGGAGCTCTAGTTAAAAGTTACCCTTCTCAGCTCAAACAAATTCTTTAACAGACATAGGTATTTGGTGTAATGGTCTCTAAACTTTTTGACCATACATTCCATCAGTAAATATATTTTTTTAATTTAAAAAAAATTTTTTTTTTTCCATGCTGCTGTGCATTTTGTTTATTTTACACTGAGACAGAGAGAGACAGAGCATGAGCAGGGAGAGACAGAGAGAGAGAGAGAAGGAGAACCTAGAATCAGGCTCAATGAGGCTGTCTCCAGGCTCTGTCTTGGGAGGCAGCATGTGGCGGAGGGAGACTCAATTCAGGCTCTCTCCCTGGGTTTCCCAGACAAGATCATGACCTTCCTAAGCTAATGAAGTCAGGCAGGACATGTGTAACAGCTGGAAACCCCTATGCTCCCTGGCCCAACCGCTTCCATTTTTTTTTAATTTTTAAAAAAATTTTAATGTTTGTTATTTTTTGGAGGAAGATAGGAGACGTATGAGTTGGGGGAGGAGCGTGGGGGGGGGGGAGACCCCATAGATCAGGCAGGCTTAGGCTCCTGGAGGGGACCAAGATAGGGGCTCATCCACCACAAACTCTGTTCACCGTTGACCTGAGGCACTAAAAGGGACACTCAACCGACTAACTGAGGTGCCCCCATCAGTAAATAATTTTTAAGCATGAACTGATATATAGAGAGAATTTTTTTTTAATTTTTTTTCAATGTTCATCTATTTTTGAGAGAGAAAGAGAAAGACAACATAATTTTGAAGGGGGGGGGGGAAGGCTGAAGGCTGAAGAGAAGGGGGGAACACACCTAAGAATCAAAACAAGCAGCTTCCTCAGGCCTCCTCTCAACAGCTCACACCATCAAAACCCGACAGGGCTGAACACCTCCTGTCTTGATCAATCATGACCCTGAGCCAAAAGTCGAACATAACATTAACCACCAGGTGCCCCTAGAGAGAATTTTTTATATTCAGTACTATACTAATGTATTAAACACATTATAAAACATTGCCCAAAAATGGAGATTTTAAAAATCAGCTGAAAAATAATTATATTTCTATTTATTTATAAATGTTTATTTTTTAATAAATTTTTTCAATGTTTATTTTTGAGAGAGAGTGAGAGAGAGACACACACATACAGAGTATGAGCAGGGGAGGAGCAGAGGGAGAGGGAGACAGAATCTGAAGCAGGCTTCAAGCTCTGAGTTGTCAGCATAGAGCCTGACATGGAGCTTAGACTCAAGAGCCATGAGATCATGACCTGAGCCAAAGTCGGACACTTAACCGACTGAGCCACCCAGGTGCCCCATAAATGTTTATTTATTTTTGGGAGGGAGAGCGTTAGCAGGGGACAGTCAGAGAGAGGGAGACACAGAATCCAAAGCAGCTCCAGGCTCTGAGCTGTAAGCACAGAGCCCAATACGGGACTTGAACCCAGGAACCATGAGATCATGACCTGAGTCAAAGTTGGGTGCTTAACCAACTGAGCCACCCAGGTGCCCCTAGAATATTTCTATTTAAAGATTTTCCACATGAATCTATGGATTTCATTGAGTATGTACACTCCACTGTGGACAGAGTCATCTAGGGCAGCAATGTCCAGGAGAACTCTGCAATGATGGGAATGTTCTATATTTGCCCTCCACTATGGTAATTACTGTCCTCATGCAGCTATCGAACTTTTAAAATGTGGCTAGTGCAACTGAACACCAGAATTTTTAAGTTTATTTGATTTTAATTAAATTTAAATCATCATGTGTGGCTAGTGGCTACTATATTGGACAGCATTAAATCTAGTGTAATGGTTCTCAAACTTGATTGTGTTAGAATCACCTAAAGAGTATTAACAAAATATAAATTTCTGGGATTTCAGCCCGGATCTCGAATGCAAATCTCCTGAGATTGGACCTTTATAAAATCATTGTGATTTCCTTCTGTTTCTATACCATTACTCTTAAAATTTAGAGCTTTCTTTCCTTTTACTTAAGTGATTTTAGTCTAAGTACCAGAGAGCCTCAGGGAGAAAAGTAGATCAGAGAGGGAGGAAAGTGCCAAACTTGGATTGTTGTGATATTTCAGTTGGAGTTTCTGTGTATGCTTTCATTTAAGAAAAGGGTGCCTGGAGTTAAAACAAAAAGTCCTTGCTTTAGTTTTAAGACTGTGCGATATTCTAAGAGGGTAATACTGGAGGCAATGAAGGAAGGGTTTTGGTTATGAAAATACAGTTGGCAGGTAGAGGTCACTAAGGAATCTTCTCCATGCTTATACTAGATTGTCTGGGCACTACTAGGAAAAACAAATCATACAATTGTTCACAATTTACATTAAAATTTAAATTTTCTAGGGCCACCTGGGTGGCTAAGTTGGTTAAACATCAGACTCTTGATTTTGGCTCAGGTTATGATCTCAGGGTTTGGGAGATCAAGCCCTGTGTCAGAGCCTGCTTCGGATTCTCTCTCTC